GGTCGGCGACAGGCTGCAAGACAGAAGGGGAATTTTTGGCTGATTCTGGTAAAATGTAACGAAGCAAAAGGGTCGACTCAGAGATTTCAAACAGGGCAGACATGTGACAATAGAGGTCGACTTAGAGATTTCAAACAGGGCAGACATGTGACAATAGAGTCGACGAGATTGAAAAGAGCAACGAGGTAGGCAGGTGATGTAAGGCAGCTCGAGTTGAAAGGACTTGGGCATTTTTCATAAACAGCCGGCAATTTTGTGTAATGGGTTAATTAATCAGACCTGTAAACAGTGGACTCTCCGTAAACATGACGGATTAGCATAGAGAAACCACTAAAAGGATTTATGCAGTATACCAGAACATGGTAAAATTTTAAAGCAGTACATAGGATGTGCCACCAGCTTCGTGTGTCATCTGTTTGCCCCAACCTCGTTCCTGAGTATAGAAATGTTTCCTATGTTCCAGTTAGAGTATTTGTACAAGTAGCTTCCAGTCAGAGATGTAACAAGTTTTTTTTTTAAGTTGAGTGACGAAATATGTAAATTTTAAGGTAACAATTCAATATATTAATTTTTCAAAGTAAATATGTATGGTTATGCTGTTAATACTTTTGTTCTTTGTCATCAAAATTAAATGTGATAGCTGACAGCATGCTTTAATTTGTTTTTTTGTTATGACAATTTTAATTTGATTATTATGTAGAAACGATATTTCATATATAAGGTTAAATTTATATGTTTTCATTAACAAGGATCCTTAATTTTTGATAATCTAATTGGCCATAATATAGTAAACAAAGAAAATGTAAGTTTTTGTTATTTGTATTATGCTATATGATATGTTTCTTTTATAATATGTATTTTTGATCTGTTTTGTTTGAGGCAAGAATAAATGTTTAATTTGTTTCTCTGATCTATTTTGAGTTTTATTTGAAAAATATATTTTTTTCTATATTTTTTTATGTTCTATAATTATTTCCCTAGTTACAACTAGTGGTTGTAATAGGTATAATTGGGCACCTTAAGTGGCGCCCTATATTAAATTTCTTGAGGTGTTTCCGTTTATTTTCATTCTGTTTGTCCAATAGATTCGTATAAGTACCTTTTATTTCCTTTTTTGTAGTTGACCCAATCCAACCCCCAATATCTTCAACTTATCCACGACCCAGCTCTCCAACAACCAACTGAGTGTCGTATGCACTTGTTTCGATTATTTTGTTTGCCCAATCTTGTCCCCCCATATTCTTACCCTGTGGTAAGCAAAATAGTCGTTACAATTTAACCTAAAATATAATCACCAAATAATAAATTTTTTAAGTCATACACGCGGTTTGCCACAAAATATGAATTGTGGTACTCTTACATACAATATTAGTTAGTATTAGTTGAACTGTAATATTTCAATTAATTGTCTTATGTTCTATTGATCCTTTTGGTTTATGCGTATTATTTCATGCCTTAAATGCATCAGTGTTCAACATTACAAGGTAATAAGCTATTTCAATTTGTTATATGCACAAGAATTGAACACGTGGATTCGTACATCTACTTGGGAACAACAGTTAACTTAAATTGGGATCAAGCGACGGAAATACGTATAAGAGTAGAAAAGGCAAGAGCATCGTTCACTAGCATAAAGCAAATTTTCACCTCTGAAAGCCTCACCCTACCTTTCAAAATTCGACTTCTGAAATGTTATGTATTCCCGGTTTTGTTATATGGAATGGAGGCGTGGACAATGACCGCAACATTGATGAAAAAAGTAGAGGCTTCGAAATGTGGGCTTACCGACGTATATTACGTATATCCTGGACTGAGCACATGACCAACGAAGAGGTACTACGCCGAATAGGTAAAGAGAGAGAGGTAGCAATTAGTATAAAGAAAAGAAAGTTGGAATACTTGGGTCACGTTATGAGACATATTAAATATAGAGTACTACAGCTGATCCTTCGAGGGAAAATAGACAGCAGAAGGGGTCCAGGGAGGAGAAGACACTCGTGGCTCCAAAATTTGCGGCAATGGTTCGGATTGTCATCTGCTGAACTATTCAGATCTGCCGTAAACAAAGTCAGAATAGCCATGTTGATTGCCAACATTCGGAACAGACAAGGCACATGAAGAAGAAGAAGATATGCACAAATAATATGAGAAGTTAGGTACAGCAGACTAAGCTAGAGTTGTATGATTCCGTAAGCCGGGCCTGTACTAAATATGAAAGTGTATCGAATATACCTAATAGCAATTTATTCACAGCGTTTTTTTTTAATTATTGTTAAATGTATAACCTTCGATAGCTCAGTTGGTAGAGCGGTGGACTGTAGTGGTGTTATCATGGTAGTTATCCATAGGTCGCTGGTTCAAATCCGGCTCGAAGGATTCTTTTTTAGCGTTAGTATAGTTAGAGAACTTTAATTATGGAAATATGTATAGAAATATATGACTACATAAATAAATACATAGTGTGTGATTTGAATGCTACGGTATTTAGGCGCATGTAATGACTTAATGGGATCACCAGAACCACCAATAAAACGATGTTAACAAGAATGATACTTTCTGCAGGGTATCTGGAACTCATCAGAAGTCAGAACAAAAGTGATCACTGCTATAATAGTAATAATGTTTAAAAAACAAAACGCAAAAAATTGCTCAAATTATATAGAAAAATTACATTGACAGGCATACCAGCCGAAGCGTTTACCTACTAGAATAATGGTAAACATCACGGAAAAAACTTGAAATCGACTTGGAAGAATTTCAACACGGATTTAGAAAATTAAGGAGTGTTCAAGATCTGTTTTTTATAATAAGCTAATGAGAAAAATAAAAGATCCATCTCATTGACCCAAAAAAGTTTCCGAGAAAGTACGAAAAAACGAAATTTGGAATTTTTTTAAAAAAGGTGAGTAGTAAGTAAAGAATATGATAGAAATTATCTAGTCTGAAAATGGAATATATTAATATTCCCATTTGACAACTTTGGATCTTTACTGTAGAGTGTAGATCGTACGCAATAACGTAAAAAATATTTCAATGATCTTTATTTAATTTGTAAATATTTTATTGAATAATCAAAATTATTATAAAATAAAATCATTGTTTATTCTTTTTTAAACAATGATAAAAATATTTTATTGGTGACTGTGTTTAGAATTTCGATCGAGTGACGTATAACCTTCGATAGCTCAGTTGGTAGAGCGGTGGACTGTAGTGGAATTACCGAAGTAGACATCCATAGGTCGCTGGTTCAAATCCGGCTCGAAGGAATCTTTTTTTATTTATATAAATAATACAATAGTTATATTAAGAAAAACATTGTTCTAGTAAATCATCATATTTGAAACGAGACAAATAATTTTGAACACTAAAATAAAATAGTAACACTTTTGAAGATATACACTAAAATAAAATATTAATTTTGAACAAGTGTTTATTAAAAATTTTTCCTCCCAACAAGGTGCAAAATTAAAAATTGTTAAAACATGAAAATATATTAGCTGAACTGAGTCTTAAAACAAACTAAGTCAACCCAATAAACCCACTAATTAGGTAAATTAAGGGACTTAATGCATATAAGTTATTATTAATGTCTTTTTGGTAAAATTCAAAGTATGTATTTCAATTTTTTTATTTTTAGCCCTATTTTGATGCTTTTTAGCACACTGTATATAAATTTATAAATTTTAATTTGGTGTAATCAGTTTTTTGATAAAGTTTTATATTTGATTTATTGTATGGGATTAATTAAAATTTGGTTTTATTATCCTAACTTTGAAACATCCTGTAGAAGAATTCCGTTTGCGAATTTTGATAAAAACTTATTTTTCGGTTACAACCATGTCTCCTAAGTATGGTGTTTTTTGTTTTATATCAAAATATGCCTTGGTTCACTTTTTAGAGCCAAATAAATTTGTCTGGGAATCGACCCCACCAACCAATAATAAACTTAAGGTGTTTTATCCCGAGGTCTTTAACAAAACATTGGAAAAAAACTTAGAAAGGCATGGCAAAACAATCGAGCACCGACCAATAAAGCTGCATTTAGCAAAGCAGCAAAAGACCTGAAAAAAAATGCTAAGTGATCTAAAAACTACATCAACTGCAAATTATCTGAGAGATTATCGCCATTAGAAGCCACAAATTACACCCTTTGGAAGGCTTCCAGAAAATTGTTATGACCACAACCTATCAAAACAAGTAACGGACATTGGAACTGATGACGAAAAGGCAAATATATTTCCCGAACACTTGGAAACTACCTTTACTCCATTTTCCTGCGAGTCACAACCAGAGGAGGAGGAAAATATTCATAGATATTTGGACTGCCCATACCAGAACCTTTTAGAAAAAATTATTGACTCAAGACTTAATATTAATAAAAAGAAAGCTGAGTTATGAGCTGATTACTGGATTCGTCGTATGTCAATTACCATAAAATGCGATCCTCTTATTAACCACAAATTTACAACGCGGTATTAAGATTACAAATTTTTCGTCACAATGGAAAGTGGCTCAAGTTATTTTAATCCATAAAATAGGCAAACCTTTAGAATTCGTAACTTCATATAGACCCATTAGTTTATTACCAATACTTTTGCTAAAATTCTTGAGAAACTAATAATAATGAAATTGAGTTCTTTCCTAGAAGAAACCTGCTTAGTTCCTGACTAAAAATTTGGTTTTCGACAAAAACACGCTGCAGTTGACCAAGTGCACAGAGTTGTTAATATCATAAACCAGGATTTGGAGGAAGGGTGGCATACAGGTTTGCTGTATAAAATTTTAAAACAGACAGATATTTTCAGATAAAATAAGCTATGGTAGTAACAGCATTGAGACCTATAAACTCTGGCGTACCTCAAGGTAGTGTGCTTGGTTCACTTTTATATCTATTATACACAGCCGACCTACCCACTTCTGATCAGTGTTCCTTGGAACATTTGCTGATGAAACATCATGATGGCAAATCAAAAACATATTTAAATAATTAATTCACTCACCTCTAAACATTTAGGTTCATGCAACTTTAACGAAGCAGTTCCATATTCCCTCCCACAGATGTAGCAGGTGAGCGTTCGTTTCCCTGAACTAGCTCTACTGCTATCGCTGCCTTCCTGCATCTTCTTCATTATTTCTAGTCGTTTGGCCGCAAGCATATTCGCTGAAGATGGGTTGGAATGGACAATGTTTTGAGAAGGAATTGATGATTTTCGTGTAGGTGATGGAGATTTCTTCGATGTTTCTTTCTTCGATTTCGATGATTTATATTTTAAAGGTACCGGTTTTTGCACTGTTGCTTTAACTAAAAGAAAAAAAAATAATCTAAGGCGGATGAGATATTTAGTTTACGTTAAATATTACTTAATCGGTTATTTCAAATTATATTAATTATGCTAAATATATCTAAATTGTCTAAATTTATTAATTAAATATGCAGGGTGTCCCCGAAAATAGTGCGTTCCATAAAGGTATAGGTAAAAGGCGCCATTTAGAGCAAAAATGTCTTTAAAAAAATATTTTTTTCTAAATTCAACCGTTTGACCAGAAAAGGAAAATACATTTTGGTCTGCAAAAAAAATCTGTCCAAGTATTTCATTAAAGAAAAAAATTTGTTCTACCCCGTCAATATGGGTGGCCTTGTATATTTGAAAATACTTTTAGAGTATCGTCCTCTCTATCCTCCAACTTTTACCTAAATATTTTTCTTTTTATCACTTACGACATATGAGTAATTGGATTTGCTCCCACTAATGCCGCCCCCTGTATTAACCAACCAAATAATAATAAAGCAATAAAAAAACCGAAAGCGGTGAACATTACGTCAGTTTATTAAAAACCTTAATTTTTAACACACAATAAGGTTAGTAGAATAGACTCATAGAAAGAGCTCAAAGTAGAATTAGAATATCAAGTCGAAATCTAGGTCGATTTTGGAGTTTGTTATTATATACAAAACTATGCAGAATATGTTGGTCAGAAACGATGAATTTTTGCAATAATTAAGTTAGTTAGAAGTTAAAACATACGTTAGAAATTACAAAACATATCACAATATTCTAAAATAGTTACAATGTCATAAGGTTTCGTTTATACGAAATAGATCGAAAAATAAAGCTAGAAGCAACAGTATCTTATTAAGAAATGATAGTCAGTAGCAAGCACATGATAGTAAGAAATTGTTATCACAAAAAGCTCGTTCCTGAAATCATTCCTCTCCTTGATGTGCCTATCCGTTACGAATGTTGGCGACAGTTTCGTGCAAAGCTTAAATAAATATTCTTTAAGAATACAGATTCAAGATTAGAAGAGACAAAATACAGCCTTTTTTTCACATAGTCAGTATGTTCACCTTCAACTCTGAGATTTGCTGTCTGATTCCAATGAAGATTTCTAATTATTTTTAGATCTTGGTTGTTAATTCCTGATTCTTTTAGTATTTGTATCATCTTGGCGTACTGTATTCGATCAAACGCTTTCTCGTAATCAACCAGACATGTGAATGTGTTGAGTAGTTCTGTTTGTATATTATCAGGGCCTAGCGCTTTGCCATACTTTAACTGTGTTATTGAGGAATAAACTTCCTGCTATAATATTCTTTCAGGTATATAAATTACCTCTTCTTCTAACTCAAACGTGTGAAAATCTCGTTGATCTTGGATCTCTTTGATCTTCAAATAGTTTTTCTAGATATTCTTTCCACGTTCTTATTTTACTCTGTCCAAGATGATATTTCCATCAGAATCAGTTATATGTCCTTTGTGCCTTCGTCTTAGTCCCCCTGTGAGCTCTTTAACTTTCCGATGTACATTGTGACTATCGTACTTTGACTGCAGAGTCTCAATTTCTTCGCATCTTTCCCTTGCTTCTTTTTCTTACGCTTCTTTGATTTTCGTTCTTATTAATATATTTATGGTTTTATATTTGTCTGCGTCATTTTTGGCATCTCTTCTCTCGTCCATTAGTTTCAGGATCTCATCTGTCATCCATGATTTTTTCCTCATTAATCTATCTGTCTTTAAGTGTTTGGACGTGGCTTGGACTCTCATCCTCTTATCAAGGTCTTTCAGCATACGTAGTTCATATGATTGCACTGTTTAGAGTTTGACTTGAAATACTCCCACCAGTAGAACATTGTCTGTCTCCAAATCTGCTCCAGGATAAGTTTTGACAGATGTAAAGCTATTTCGGAATCTTTTATTTACTAAAATGTAGTCTATTTGTTCTTACTAATTCTCTCGGCTCTGTCTTGAAGGGATTTCCACGTGTACAGATTGCGATGTGGTAATTGAAAAAATGTGTTGATGACAACAAACTAGTGCTGAGTCTTCTGCGAATTTTTCTAGGAGGTCTTCTCTCTCGTTTCTGACTCCAAGACCATGTGCTCCAATGTACTGTGTCTTATCTCCAGCTCCAATCTTGGCATTAAAATCGCCCATAATGATGAGAACTTCCTGTCGAGGAATTTTCTGTATGATACTGTTGATGTTCTGATAGAACTCAATTGCTTCTTCCTCCACTTTGTCTGTAGTGGGAGCATAGACTTGGATGATGTTAATATTAATAGGGTTGGCTTCTACTTGTAGTAACATCACTCACGTATCACTTGGGTGATACGATTATTCCGACTCCATATTCATGTGATCCATCACTTTTTCCCGAGTAATATACCTTGTGATCTTCTATTGGACATCTTCTGGACATCTCATTTCTGCTTTTCCCATGATTTCAATATGCATTCTCTTCATCTCCTGTATTGCATTGTGGATTTAAAATCATAAAAGAATATAATAACCAATCCTAAATTATATTATATTACTAAATTTAAAAAAAGAAAAATAACAATTAACAACAATCTCAATCTTTTGTTCGACCATGCCTTGACTCAATGACAGGCGGTTATCTGAATAACTATGTGGCAAGTAAAAGATTTGTTTTTCGATATTATTACAAAGAGGCCACTAGAATTTTATAAGATTTTTTCAATAATTTTAAGTTTATGAAATTTATTTTATCGTAACTAAACTCCCACAATGTAGAAACACTTTTAGGCACTGAAACTGGCTGCCAACAGGTCAATTTAGGGTACTAAGTCTGCAGAATTGATATCAGTTTTACTAATTCTGAAAATGCATGTGTTGTTTGTATGTTGTTCTTGTTGGAATATGGCTGTTTTGTTTTTCAAAAATCTTTCATAAGTATACAGTTGTTCAAAGAGTGAATTTGTGCAAATTTTAAATTTAAAACTATGGCTGAGAGATTGGCTAAATCTGTTCAAATTGTTACTTTGGTTGGCAATGGAATGAGTCAAAGAGAAGTACCCAGACAGCTTGGAGTTAGTCGTGGTATGGTCCAAAAAACATACCAAAGATTCGTAGAGACTGGATCTCACGAAAGACGACCAGGATCAGACGCGAGAAAAATCACCACGGCCAGAGAATACCGTTCATTACAACGAACTTCTTTACAAAATCGGTCCTTTATGGCTAGAGCAATTCAAAACGGGTGGACATTAAGCACTTCTACAGAAGGAAGGTTCAGGGAATGTGGTCTAAGGGCTCGTTGCCCAACAACAGGAGCACATCAACAACGCCAATTTCAGTTTGCTAGAGACCACGAACATTGGCCGATAGTAGATTGAAAAAACGTTTTGTTTGGTGATGATTCCAGGATGGTTCTTTATGGCTCAGACGGTCTCATAAATAATAAAAGTGGAAAACGTTATACTGCTTGTGCTCGACGAACACATGTTGCTTTTGAAGGAGGCTCCGTAATGTTTTGGACAGGTTCATTCAAAGGCCGTACTGATCTCGTGTTTATTGTTAGAGGAGCGTTGAATTCTTATCGATACGTTACCGAAATTCTAGACGAGTATGCAACTGCTTTTATTGATACTGTAGATTCTAGCTTTATTTTTTTAATATTTTGTATTAACAAAACCTTATGAGTTATGACATCGTACCTACTTTGGAATATTGTGAAAGTTTTTTTTTTGTAATTTTTAATACATTTTTTTAACTTTTTAATATTTAAAAGCATTTGGGCATCTGACAAAAAGAGATAAAATTCTAGCTTTAATGATGATGTTTTAAATATCAAACTGAACGTATACAGGGTGGTGAATCGTCAAACGGGCCATAGGAAACTCAATGGAAAATTCTAAATTGTTGAATTCCTGCTTCCCTAATTATTTTACACCAAAAGTCATGGGAAACTATTTGTAGAAGACTCAAATATGTATCGAAAACAATTGTTAAAATTGTTCTACGACTTAAACGTATTCCAAAATTTTGCTAAAATATAATACATTTTCAGGCCACCCCTAAAAGTCAGGCCAGACGCCGTGAAAAGAATGTGTATTAAGTGTTGCGTTTTGTCATATTGAGGTTTCTAATATTTGACAATATTTAAATTAACTTGTATTATATTTATCTATGATTTAAATGGCCAAAATTTTGTGATTTGTTATTTAAAAGAAAAATTAAGTTGATTAAAAAATATACTCAGTTAAGGAGAAAAGAGCAATAATAAAAATGTTTTATTCATGTTTTATTATAACATTTGTTATAGTTTTATTTTTAGAAATTATCATATATTATTATTAGGAATAAAGATCACAGTAACAGTATATTGGAATTCATTGAATTGTTGTATAACTTAATATGGAATTAAATTTTAGTGTATTAGAATATCTTACGTTAAATAAAGGTCCGGTAGTGGCAGGAAAAGGTTCGCTATTGCCTGAATACAACATTATGCGAGTTTTCGTCAACTGAGTACATTTTATTATATTGATCGATTTGTAAACAATATAATTTATTTGTTCACAAAGTAATATTCTTCAGTAGTAGTATTTAGTAAAATTCATTGTTTATAATTTAATCATAAAATAAAAAAATTGACAATTCAAATTGTCAAACATCATGATAAAACACACACGTTATATATTCTTGTATTAAGTGTGGCCTAACTTTTGGGGGTTGTCTGAAAAATCTATTATATTTTTGCAAAATTTTGAAGTACATTTGATTCGTAGAACGGTTTTAACATTTGTTTTTAATTCAGATTTTAGTCCTCTACAAATAGTTTTTTATGACTTTTGATCTAAAATAATTAGGGAAGCAGCAATTCAACAATTTAAAATTTCCCATTGAGTTTCCTATGGCCCGTTTGACGATTCACCACCCGGTATAATCAGAAGTGACTTAAAAACTACATACTTAAATATTGATGTAACAATTCATATTTGGCTTTACAAAAAGTTAACCTAAAAAAACTCAATTCACTTTATATAGAACAAACAAT